ATATATATATATATATTAGGAGCAATTTTAACATGTTTTCATATGTTTGCACAGGGCCAGGAGGATGATGAAAGCTCTTTAGCCTTGAGAGAAGTCACTAAACATCTTTACACTCGTCTGCAAGAGATGGAAAGGAGACACCAGGAGGAGAAAGACAGACTACAGGTCAGAAACTAAATTAAAAATACCAGGAAAATTAATATAATTGTGATATAATATGTCTTGCCTTTTCTAAACTGAGCACTTTATTTTTTTAAACTTTCATTAGGCGGAAAACATTGAATTTCAGCGGCGGTTTCTAGAGGAGCATAACTCCCGCATACAGAAGGCAGAAACCAAGGAGGAGGAACAGGGCAAAAAGGTGGAAGAGATGCAGAAGCTTATGCGTAGTTTGGAGCTGGAAAATACCACGCTACGAGAAAAATTGGCCACTAGCGAGGCTGAACTTGAGAAACTGCGAGGACTGAAGAAAACGGATAGTGAGGACAGGTGAGGCCTTTGTTTTTGCTGACCCAAATTGCTACTGTTCATTTATACATAATTTAAAAAAAAAATTTATTTAGTCATTTATCAGACGCTTTTATCCAAAGCGACTTACAAATGAGGACAACAGAAGCAATCAATTGTAGTATTAAAACAACTAAAAACAGATCCAAAACTAAAAGCTAAAACTTTATAAATACTACCTATACACAGAGGTGTGACCAAGTCGTTGTTTTGCAAGTCACAAGTAAGTCTCGAGTCTTTGCATTCAAGTCTCGAGTCAAGTCCCGAGTCAAGACAGACAAGTCCAAAGTCAAGACTCGAGTCAAGACAGGCAAGTCCAAGTCGAGTTGCAAGTCCTCAACTTTTAGCTTCAAGTCTTAAACAAGTCATTAGTGCTCTTTGCCCAAATTAGTGTCTCAGTATTAATTACCATATCAAATGTATAGTAATTTATATCAGGAAGGCAGGTAGAATATGTTTGACATAGTTCAATTTCATGTGAGATGGGTGCCCTTAGTAAAACTACTCAAGTTCAGTTTAGGGATTGTGCCAAAATATAAAAGCAGTGGAAAAAAAAACAAAAAAAAACGATTTTATTAGTAACAGAATAGCTAAAACAACAGAATTTCATAGAAATACAGCTGCAACATACTTTGCATGTGTGCTTAAGAATATATGCTTCTGGTGTTATATCTAAGCCAATGAGCCATTATTTGGAACACTAAAGTCTCAAACACTAAAGTCTCAAAACCAAAGAGATATTCTTTATAAAAGTTCAGAGTTAACCACTTTTTTTATTGGTCTTATGAAGTATTCTAATTTGTTGGTGGGTTTTTGTTAAATGTGAGCCAAAATCATCACAATTAAAAGAACCAAAGACTTAAACTACTTCAGTCTGTGTGCATTGCATTTATTTAATACACGAGTTTCACAATTTGAGTTGAATTACTGAAATAAATGAACTTTTCCACGACATTCTAATTTATTGAGATGCACCTGTATATGTATGTATGTATGTATGTATATATATATATATATATACATACACATTTATAAATTCAATATATATATTATTTCATTTCCATTTAGTTTGTTGACGTATTAAAATAACTCAAATTAAATAAAGCTAAAAACTTAATAAAATACCTATACAGACATAATAAATTCAGACATAATTTAAAAATAAATAACAAATACAAATAATACAAATCAAATGACAGTAGTTTATCAGTAAATCCTAAACAATAACACTGTCAAACATACATGCTAAAAAACAACTTACTTACACATAGTAAGAAATGGTTATAAAAACTTAAACAGAAGCGAAACAAGTAATAGGATAACAAAATGCATTGTTCTCATATGTTTAACTGTTTCCTTGGCTACGTTAAATATTTTCCACCTGCAATTTAGTAAGCTATACATAATGCATTGCTTTCATATGTTTAATGTTTCCTTGGCTACTTTAAATATTTTCCACCTGCAATTTAGTAAGCAATAAATTGGCCTAATTACAGCTCTATTAAGTTGCATTGTGCTGCCATAGAAACTCATCTTTCAATGTCACGCCTCTCACATAGAATTCGACTTTGACTGATTCTCATACGTTAAAAGCAGACTCACCCTCTACGTTGCTAATTGCTTCTGTGTTGCATGTAAGTGTCATTTGTGAGTGTGTAGACGTGTAACATACAGGTTTTCTGTACTGCAGGTCTGAACAACTGAAAAAGGAGCTGGCAACTCTGAAGGATAAGAACCACAACTTAGATGACATGCTCAAAAGTCAACAAAGGAAAGTCAGGAACATGATCGAACAGGTAATAATTACTGTGGATATTTGGAGAAACACCCAATCACAGAGACAAATCATTAAATGACATTTGCAAACCATTTTATATATGTAATATAATTATTTATATTCAATGATGAATAATTTAGGGAGTGATCATGAAAAATGCAGTGGGAGGAGAGAGGCTATGTATAAATGTATCAATCATAATTTAAACAGTACTTTTTTAAATGTATTAATACAATTAAATAATATATTAATATAATTTAAAAGGAAAATAAAATAAAATAAAATAAAATTAATTGAAAATTAAAATAAACATTAAATATTAAAATATAAAAATATTTAATAAATCATTAAATAACATTTAACATTAAATGAAATAGAAAAACCTAAACTTGATGTACTAAAATAACTAAAGCCAAAACTGAAAAAAAATTAATAAAAGCTATATAGTAAAAATAATAAAATGTGACAAAAAGATATATATATATATATATATAGATATATATAGATAGATAGATAGATAAAATACTCATGCTGAATTAAAGAAATATGCTCATAAAGAACAAAAAAGAAGGAGAGAGGACAAGGTAAAATTAAAAAGAAACATCAGGAAGATTTTTGAGATTCTCAAAAATAAACCGGTCGTGCATTATATAGAGAGTTTGCTCAGAGATGAGAAGTGAAACTCAACCTCAGTCATAAATAAAAGATTCTGTCATTTCCCTGCTGCTCAACCTCGGTGCACTTTAGATCTCATGTTACACATAATGGCTTCATCCATGAACACTGAAATCACAGATGCAAGCAAAGCATTATGCTTCAGAAATCCAGCTCTATTAAATTTTTCTGTAGATTATTCAAGTTTTATTTCAACTTCATTTTAAACCTTAAAATCAGTTTGAATGTGATAAGTGCTTGCATTAATTCATTCATATGTCCAAATATGTTAACAGGTGCAAAATTCACGAACCATAATGGAGCAAAGAGACCGGCTGATCGGAGACCTCAAAGAGAGGGTGGCTTTCCTCGAAGCTGAGGTCAGCGCCTGAGTTATTTCAAAGAGCTGCTTTATTTTTTCTACTTTTCACTGTGCGACTGTAACATATCAAATGTGTCCTACAGAACAGAGAGATCCATGACCGGATGGAGTTTTATTTGGGCAACCAAGTGTCTAAACCATATAACTCAGACATGGGGTCCAAGGTTGTCTACAGGTATTTCTTTCTTAAAATAAATACTTACAACATATCTCCTCATTTATACAACATCATAAAACCATGTTGTTTTTGACCATGTCTATCAAGCTCCAAAAGCACCAAGTATGAGAAATATTGCAAAAGCATAAAAACATTCTGGACAAGGCATTTGGTTATTCAAAAAAGTATTTGTCATTTTGTATTATAGCAAACCTCTGACGCCAACAAGCCCTGGAAACAAGTCTATGCCATTCATTAAAGTGGTCGAGATCAAGTCCTGAACAACAGATGAAGACAGCTGATGAAGAGAGAGAGAGTGGTTGAGTGAGAGACACATTGTAAAAGAAGTAACCAGTATTCCTTCTCTCTCAACGTTTATGCAGCATCCCTCTGTTTATCACGAGTAGCACTTGAGGTGCTTTGTATAATATAAATACATAAATATAAATATAATTGATTTGCAGATCATATACTGCGTTTTTATACCTTAAGCAACTTATTAATAGTAGTAGATGTAAGTGGTGATATTCATATTTCCTACAGATCTGTCAATATATCTGTTTCATGTATAGAATCTAATAATGCAGCCATTGTATAAATATTGTGACTGACAGCCACTTTTAGTAATCTGATAAAGCCAATTAATGTATATTCTATATATCTTAAAATCCATAACAAACAATATTACTGTGCTTCTTATGTATCTGTGTATGTACATATACTCTGATATACAGTTCTGAATTTACTGTACCTTGCAAAGCTGTCTTTCCCCTTTGGGAACTGTAATTGTATTGTGTTTTGAAGAACTTTTTTTTCTGTTACTGTATATTCAGTGCTTAACTCTACCTTTCCATCCATCTCTTATTAAATGTGAAAAATGTGTTACTGTAGATGGAATTGTAGTGCTATGCACATTTCTCTGGTATTGTGTTTTACCTGGTATGTGTATTTATCGTAAGGGCTAAACAATAAAAAGTATTTAAGATTGCTCACAGTATGTGCAAAACAATGACACTTTTTTTTCCTAATAACTGTGATAAGATTCTGGTAAATAAATGGTAAATTTATTTATTTACTTACCAATTGAAGACATTTTAGTGCATTATAATTTTCCAGTTTTCCCTACAACATTCACTTCATGTCCAAAAATATGTGGACACCTGAATTCCACGCTTGAATTTATCAAACATTTATTTTCAAAACCACTGGTTGTTGGAATATGGATGAAAGAATGTCATTGTATGCTGTAGTATTAAGATTTATCTTCGCTGAAATAACCCGTTAATTAGAAGTGAGCGTCTGTGTGCACACACTTTCGGTCGTGTAGTGTATAATACAGCCATCCGATCATTCTCGGTCTTTGTCCGGTGCTCGGAAGAACTCCGCGCAGACCACTAGCGACATCTAGTGATGTAACTGCACTTAAACAAATGCTGCTGTCTCATGAAATTCGAACAGATTGCTGAAAATACAAGCAAAACTCGACACAGTTGTTAATGCCACTATAATCAAATCTCTGTAAAAGTTTGAAAATGGATAATCCCAAATAAAATGAATTTTCAGCATCATTACTCCAGTCTTCAGTGTCACATCCTTCAGAAATCATTCTAATATGCTGATTTGCTGCTCAAGAAACCTTTTTTAATTATTATTATTATCAATATTTAAAACAGTTGAGTAAATTTTTTCAGGATTCTTTGATGAATAGAATGATCCAAAGATCAGTATTTATGTGAAATAAAAAGCTTTTGTAACACATTATACATGTGAATGAAACATACACTGCACAGAGTGTTTAGCGCTCCGCGATATTCATCTCGCCTTATTCTGGGTCCGAATAAAACATCAGATCATGCACAGACTATCCTGTCTCTTTGAATTTAAATCTATATTTTAAATTCAGGTCCCCCGCGTAATCTACGCCCCTGGTTACAAGTAACTAGTTTTAAACAAAATATTCGTATGTAAATGGTGACTTGGCCCCAAACAAGTTAACCTACCGACCTACTGCTAAATTTGCAACCATGTTACCTATTCTGTTCTTATTTATTGTTTATTCTAAATAAATAAGTTAATGTAAAATTAGTTTCAAGGTCCTTATTCACAGAATATGTAGGCTATGTCATAAGTATTTTTTGACATCAGTATCAATGATCAGGTAGGTTTTTGCATTACAAATACCCACTACAGCTAGAGGGTGACATTATATATTGCATAATTGTGTTTTAAGTTGTTATATGTACATGCGTACGTTGTCGTCACGTGATTGAGCTCTGAGCGTGAAGCCGCAGTGGCTGTGATAAACCACGTGACGCGGTGATCCGGGTGTCAGAGTGGAAGAGAAACAGGTAAATTTTGAGTCTCTCGCTTATTGTCTGCGCGAGTCGGTTCGGTCTTGTAGTTGGTTTTGAGGAATCGATTTAGGACGCGAAATAGTTCGTTTTTTGTTTCCGTCTGATAAGGAGGTCGACAATAAAGCCTCCGTCGGTCGGCGTTATCTCCACGTTTCTGACATCCAGCCGGGTCTTTGGTTAGTACCTCGCCTGTTGTTCATTTTTATCATTCGGGGCCTGTAGGCCTCGGTGAAGCCTCGGTGTCGAGTGTGCAGGTGAACCGACGGGAGTGCGCCTCACCCCGGGGGGCGTGTGCCTTCCAGTTGTGCAAACGCAAATTATTATCTTGTCGATTAATCTAACGTACGATTTACCCACGTAGTCTTTCCACTGCGCTGAGAAACCATATAGTTGATTAGCATCCGGAAAACTAATTTTTGGCCAGCAGCAGCATCATGATGCCCGATAACCGGCCATGAGGTTATTAGACGCGGCCAGAGCGGAAGCCACCCATCATCTAACGTTAGATCTCGTCTATTTTATTTAACGTATCAACAATCTTTTAAGACTATTAAAACAGTGTGTATGTGTTCATATCGTATCGTTAGATCTGCGTGTTTGAGTTTATACCGAGTTGCTTTTCCAAGGCCCATCGCCTCGACTTATCAATCATAGTCCTTCATCTCTTAAGGTTTTTTTATATTATTAACTAAGTTTAATAGCTTACAGTTTTGCTTACTTTTTAGCCGGTACGTTAATATGGGATTCCCAGGATGTAGAGCACAACAGGTAAAGTAGTTTACCTGTTGGATGCTTATTTTAAAGATTGGATACTTTAGGCAATGTTTTATGTTCCAGTGCATGGAAATGAATGCCTTTTATGTGCTTCTATTCCTAGACATTTCCCTTGTTGTATATCTACTTGCGCATCTGGTGTTTTAATTACAGTACGGATTGGTGTGAGTGCTCAAGAAATATGAAATGACGTGCTGACACTTTCACCCATGGACTGTGTGATTGTGTTCACGTCTCCAACATGGTCTCTGTTTGACAGTATCATCCTCGCCCTCACCCCGTTCAGAGGCCGTTGAGGGTGTTTTTGTTAAGCTGTGTCCGTTAAAGCACGTCGTCCGTCTGTTTTCCCGCGGCTGGTCCCGCGTGTTTCTGTCACGCCTGCTGATTCCGTGCGCTTTCTAAAGCGCGCAGTTGCTTTCGGCCACCACATGCCCTGCATTTCCTCATGCGCAGAGCAGCTACACTGGGCTGTTTGGCATAACCACACATACAATATTTCACAACATGCAGCAGGTAGATTGCTTTTGGTGTCATTTTAGCGAAATTTCAAGCGTTGCGGTTTTTTTTGTTTTTTTTTTAAGAAATAAAAACTAGCCGAGGATGTTGAGCTCCGGAAGCGCGTACATGGTTGACCTGTTGCGGCTTGACTTGTAAACATCATAAGGTCTTGTTTTTCACGTGCGATAATTGCGCAAAGCTTTCGAAATTCTTGGAACTTAATTTCTGTTGGTGTTCCTGTAAACTTCGGCCGTCTTTTTATGGGTAGAGCGTCAGGCATGTGACTGTTTACTTCCAGTTTTGGCTTATCAAAATGGCCACACAAGGTGTAACGTGTTTGTTTGCATGCATGTTTTATGTTAATATGGCTTGTCAAGACCATGTGATGTTTTTATGATTGTTGTTTATTTTTGACGAGTTGTCAGTAACATTTCTTCTACCTGTTTCTCTTTTAAAGGCGTTATTCCTTTGTAAATACTGTTATTTGTATATACTGTAAATGATGACTTCAGTGGGCGGAAGCCGGACCCGGGGCAACTGGGAGCAGACGCAGGGTCAGACACAGAGCCAGTCACAGCACAAGCAGAGGCCCCAGGTAAGTTTTTGATTACTTATAGTGATTGGATTAGTTATGTCACACTTCAAAGCCCCTTTAGCCCACCCCAATAAAACTGGCTACCAGAAACTGGAAACGGCATAAATGAATGTGTAAAATAAAAAATAACATGTTTATATGTAAATAAGTTGAAAAATGTTGAATGAGGTACTTGATTTGACTCTTTCCATCTACACAATGTATTTATAGATGTTATAATTGTTCATGACTGAATTATGACATTGTTATAACTTTTGACAGGTGCATCAAAACTAGGTCTTAAAATCCTGAATTAATTAGTTTGCAGGTTAAAATATCTTCTTAAAACTAAAAAGATCAAATCTGTTGTGAATTTATTCGGCAGGTTATCTAGTTGCATAGTCTGTTATGTTCTTGTTGTTTGCATTTTTACTGGCCATGAGAACCAGCACCATTTCAGTGGAAAAGGGGTGTCAGTGACATCCACCAGACTGAGACGTTTGCTTTGAGTCACTGCAGTCTATCACTCATTCTTCTGAATTAAATTAAGGGCTTTCTAGGTAATAAATCTATGCCCAAGCAAATGCTAAGTCTGACCTATTTCTCCTCTGCTGTATTCTGGCCTGCTTGGGTGGGGGGACAGACAATTTTTATAATTTCTTTTTTAGATTTTTTTCTAAGGCACATTTTAAAAAAACTACTTGTCCTAATTTAACTGTGAAAACAGGCCTAAAAGTATTCATTTAAGCTTAAATGTCATTGCAACAAGCAGCTGTATTATAATTGATCATATTGGAATATTCAAGATGCCAGCTCATTTGTAAAGGTTTACATTTGTTCTGTGCACAAGTGTAAAAAACACAAGCTAACCAATAGCCATCATGCACATTAATTTCGAAGGTATGTCTATTTGAAAGCGTCGAGGGAATTAATAGTGTGTGTTTTTAGCTTGAACTTAAGACTTTAAGGGCCAGATTTACTAAACGGCAAATTTGTGTGAGAGTACAATCCTATAAAAGCGCCAATGGGAGTGGAAAGGTCTACAGGTGATTTACTGATAAAGCGCGAGTTAAAGAACACAGACACAGCCAGTGCATTTCCATAATGACCAACCAGTAAACTGACTACCTCTAACCTTATTAAATCACCTTGCATGATTCAAGGTGATTTACTAATAAATTTTGCGTGTGAAAGGGAAACTCCTACAATGCATATGCCAGGGGTGTCCAAACTCGGTCCTGGAAGGCCGGTGTCCTGTAGAATTTATCTCCAACTTGCTTCAACACACCTGCCTGGAAGTTTCTAGTATCCCTAGTAAGACTGATTAGCTGGTTCAGATGTGTTTAATTGGGGTTGGAGCTAAACTCTGCAGGACAGTGTCCCTAAGGACCGAGTTTGGACACCCCTGGCATATGCAATATCGTTAGATGCAAAAATAATTCCATTCACGCCTTTTCATCTAATTTTTTTTCAACACCAAAAGAGGGATTGCGCTGGTGCTGTTGGTAAATCTTGCCTCAAGACTCCTAAATGATGCTGACAATCAATGCAGTATGTTTCACAACTGCCATGAAATCAGACTTAATCATTTTGTCCTTTTTGTTAATTCAGGCCACCGCTGAGCAGATCCGACTCGCGCAGATGATCTCGGACCATAATGATGCAGACTTTGAAGAGAAGGTCAAGCAGGTGAGTAGGGATGCTGAAAGTAATAGCAGGTTCTGCTTTACATCCATCAAATGGTCCCTTCAATAAAGAAAAAGTTTTTTTTTTGCAAGTGGTTTGACAGTAGCTTCTAATCAGTTTTTCCTTGCGCTATTCTGATGTACCCGCAGTCACTTACATTCAGCACACAAATTTCCCTCACTGCTCTCTCTATAGCTCTGACGGGGACTATCTGTGCTAGAGTAAAGTTTGAGCTGCTACCGGATGCTCTCTCTCAGTCTCACTCTGAGTTAGAGAGCAGCATAAAGCTCAGACACTTCACAGTTCACTCAATGTTTCCATCAGTCCCCTCAGCCACTTCCGTTTTATCTTGTTGCCTTCCAAATATATGGCCTAAGTCATACACCCACGTGGATTTTACATGCTGCTTGTTGCTCCTTTTCTCTTTTCCAGCTGGTTGACATCACAGGAAAGGATCAGGATGAGTCCATGATAGCGCTTCACGACTGCAATGGAGACGTCAACAGAGCCATCAATGTCCTTTTGGAGGGCAGCCCTGACACTGTGAGTTCAGGCTTGAGTTAAAAAGCCCAAATATATATCATTTATATACTCGTATAATGTTTAGATTATTTATGAATATTTTGAATTGGCTGTCTTTTTTTTCAGCTCATTTAAATTTGTTTCAGCAGTTTTAACATTTTTATTAATTATTATATGTATAGTTTGTATACGCATAGTAACGTTTCTATAGATTTTATTTCAGTTTTAGTACTTCAACCTTTTCGAAAAAAAAACAAAAAAGTTATTAAGAATGAACCTGAACATTTTTTGTGTAATATTAATAGTTTAACTATAACAATACAGTTTTAAACTGAATCAGGTATAAATAATAATAAATACACATTTTGATAAAGTCTTACAATTTCAAATTCCCATTTTTTCCATCCCTCTTTTCCATGTTAAATTTGCCTTTTGCTTTGCAGGACTCATGGGAGATGGTTGGAAAGAAGAAAGGAGTTTCAGGTCAGAAGGAAAGCGCACAGACAGATGGAGGAGATGAGGGCAAGGAGAACCGAGAGAAAGGAGGAGAAAGAGATGTGGCACGTCGCCGAGGAGGGGCCCCGCGGAGGGGCCGTGGAGCCAGCCGCGGGCGAGAGTGTGAGTGGAGATATTACTTATTAGGGTTGGACGATGTCTACCAAATTGGCATCGGACGATGTCTACAGTGAAACATCGTGATGGACGATGAAATGGGGGGGCAGGCTTAGGGGTGTGCCTGAAGCGTGAAACAAATAAAGCGTTATACGGAGCCACTAAAGGTTGCATTACAGTACATGAAAGTTCACTTACCACATACACAGAGTAAGGAGAAATGTCTGATAGTACGATGGCGAATGATTTGCAGATCCTGAGCACCAATGACAAACATCTAATCTTGTCAAATGTGTGGTAAGTACTGCCGCTCCATAGTATAGAGTCCTTGTGATCGCGAATCTCAAAAGTGAAAGTAAAATGAGAGCGCGCAATCAAAAGAGGTTTCAATAGCGGCTCCCTGATGTCCTCAGTTTATATAGTCGCCTATACTTACCCAACGATATAATTGGGAGAAAAAGTATTGACTTTTTTTTTATTTTTATTTTTTTATCCTCCCATCTCGTAGGCTATTTATTCCCTTTAGGGTTTCCGTAGTACACTTCAATTCCTTTCCGAACACGGAACTGGGATGCGGCGGATTGTGGGAGAGGGGGTGGTTGGGGGAGGAATCACGATGTCAGCTTAACATCGTGATTAGTGGTTATCCGATATTCGTTTTTTTTGCCAGCTGATGCCGATATCTTGGATAGCCGATATAATTTTATTTATTTTAATTAGAATTTTATTTATTTTAATTGATATTTAAGAAATTTTATATAATTTGTAAATGGATTAAAAAATAAATGTGTAAAATAAACATACTTATACTCTAAATGACAAAGTATTTTTCACACAAATATTTAATAAAAATATAATTAAAAAGGAAGTAAACACCGTAACCAACAGGGCATTCAGTAATCTGGGAAGTTTGTGTGCATTGGGATTTGGGAATCATATTTTTTCAAATAAA